GTTTTGTCTTTTGTGCATGTGGTGAGTAGAGGCCCTAAGGGCCACTGCACGTATTCCTAAGAAAAGAAAAACGAGAAAATTTTCTCGTTTTGGATTTTCTTGTTTTTCTTTTCTTATTCTTAGGAATACGTGCAGTGGCCCTTAGGGCCTCTACTCACCACATGCACAAAAGACAAAACATATGGCGGTGTATTCCATGTTCTGCAGAAGATTCATTCTAGTTTCGCACATTTGGTGAGTAGTGCAGCCAAGCCCTGAGAATCACGTGCAGAGACCAATAAGGCCTAGCTAAGTGAGCAACCCATAACTGCTGAAACCGAGATGCACAGACCTGAATTCGAATCCAGACTATATAATCTTGGCCCACGCCTAGGAACTGCAAGGTTGAAGTTTACCTCTGCTACACGTGGGGTCCTAGCTAATTAGCTGAAGGGCCCCTACGGAAAAGAGGCTGGACACAATTAAAATAGGAATACTCACATGTTTAGACATGTGCCCACAGTTTTGGGGTATGGCGTGACCCTGGAGTTTGTCCCTCTTGCTTTCTGATTTTTAAAAGCGAGGGGGATGTTTGGCCACCCCACCCTGTCCTTTCAATTTTTTTTTATTATTTTTTTTTTGGTGATGCGCCGCATCACGTGCGCGTGCGTGCATGCGCGTGCGCTCTGCGCCGCATGTGTCGCGACCCCGCGCACGGGATGCGCCGCAAGTATGACACAGAATAATAATGAATAAAGAATAGAACCGCAAAAAAAAAAAAATGCAATTCAGGGAATTTCGAAAGTAAAGAAAATTTCCGGATTTATTCAGATAAGAGTATGCGTAGTTAAAACGTGACTGCAAAGAGGGATTTCCCATAACATTTCGAATTCGAAATCACGAATTTTGGAAATTCAAAAAAAAATTCTCAGAATTTTCGAAATAGCGGGAAATTGCAGAGGAAAACACAAATCGAAAATTTTCGTAAAATACTCCGGATTTCTCAACAACGAAATTTCGAATTTCAAAAGAAAACCAAAATCGAACGTTTCAGATGCTGCGATATTTCGCGATTTTCACAAATGAACAATAGCGCTGAGAAAACGAAACCTAAAAAGATGTTACGATCCTGGCCAATTTTTTAGTATACATACATCAGAAAGTACAATGCCGTCCAATTGCAAAAAGAAATGAATGAACTTGAGAGGAGAGAGAGGGAATGAAGAAGAAGTAAGAAAGAAGAAGAAGATGATGTACTCCAGCATAGTTCAATGACAAGGCTCTTCTTCTTCGCCAACCAATCTCCTCCTCCTTATCTCCTCCCCTCTTATTCAAACAAGAAATAACAATAATAGTGTTGAATGGCTGAACCAGAAGCAATGTCCGAATCCCACTTCTACTGCAGGCACAACATGAGGTCCACCATAGCCATCGCCACCCTTTCATTTCCCCTACATGCAGGCCGAGGCTATGGGGGAGC